TTTAAAGCAATATCGCATTGCTTTAAGCAATCATGATTTCCCCAAAGAATCTTGGGAACTTCAATTTGTTATGGGTCCTGCAGTTGTTAGGATACCCCTAGTCCTCTGTTAGCTACAATTCCCTGAGTGGTTTAACAGTCAATCCTTTTAGCATGGGAACTTTGGGAGTTGTAACTCTGGGAGGTGAAAAGGGGGTCTCCTAAGCAACTCTCAGTACCCTTAACTGAGGTTCACAGGATTCTTTGAGAAGCCATGACTGTTCAAAGGGGGCAACTGGAAAGTTGAAGGCTCGGAGGTGGGAGGAAGCTGGAGGCCTCAAGTACACCCACGAAAAGCCTTTCTTGCAACTTCTCATGAGAACATTGCGGATCTTCACTCTCAGAGCTGCCACACTTCCACCAAAGGCACCCCACTCACAGAACATGCCAAGCAGTACTTGCCTGGGCAGAAATGGGTTTGTGGACCGATGGCAGGAAGCAAGCAGAGAAACAGAAGCAGGCAGAAGAAAAAGGCTGGAATGTAGCTGCCGCCAAGCACATATTGCTGAAATCACATGTTAAATGCACATAAGATGCAAATTGCCTGTTTTGTTTTGCTTCCAGTTATACATAAGATATAAGCCAAGCTTAGGCACACTAGAAGAGACTGGTTTCCTCCCATCTATATAAAATGAAAGTTTAGGTCTCCTAAAGCTGGGAGCACATTGATACTAGCATTAGGGGGGGGGGAATCTGTGGCCTTGCAGATGTTGGGACTCCCAGCTCCCATCAGCCCTAACCAGCACAGCCCCTGGTCAGAAATATGGGAACTTTTGTGCAGCAGTACCTAGTGGGCCCAAAGGTTCCCCATCCCTGTATGAGCATCTTGCCTGTAAAGGGATGATTCAGAAGTTGGAAGCTGCTTACACATAGCTCAGTTACCTACAATCTACTATAGACTTTCACCTTTCCGAGTGACTTAGTGTATAGTGAAATGTTAAAAACACATAAAACACAACAGACCTGGGGAAGCCATTTGACTGTGACATTTAAACTAGGACACAGTTTGTTTGCTTCATGCTAAAGACAGACTGCATGCAGAAATTCTGTAATAACCTTACATCTCACTTTATAAAGTTACTAACTTTACTTACACAGTATTATTCATTTGGGGCACGTAGTGATCTTGGATGAAAAGAACCACCCACACTCAAAGCAATTTACAAAAAAAAAAAAAAAGGACCACTTGAAGCAAATGGCTATCTAAATTCTACTCTTTTGTTGCCTCTAAAGTCAATTTTTGCAGACGTCTAAAGCAGAAAAGTGGGTATGATTTTAATATGCAGGGACTGAAAGCCAAGCCTGCTCAAGAAGGGTTGCACATGCCTTCTAAAGAAATTATGCCAAAGAAATCAGTCCAAAATATTTCCCTTACTGGTAATGAAGGTATAGACCTTCAGTCTTAAGTGTTCCCCTACAGAGGAGTTGTTTCATTTCAATTAGGACCATGAATGTGGTTGCAGGGAAGAGTTTAGGCAAATTATTTAAATAAAGCCTCTCTTATTATATGCTAAGCAACATAACAACATATTGAATGACCAAGAGTTAAATGATACACTGCTTTCATTTTTAGCTTCCAATAAACTTGCCCAAAGGGCTTCTGTAGACAGGGGTAGCCAAATGGTGACCCTCTGTGGATGTTGTGAAATCCCAACAGCCCTAGCCAACATGGCCAATGACCAGGGATGCTGGCAACTGTAGTTCCAACAAGAAGTATGTACAGGGACCCTCATCTGCTATGCAATGCTTTACTACATCAATGGCAACAGATTCAAGACATACCCAAAACAACGAACATCTAAATTAGTTTATGGAATTCACTGACACAGGATTTGGCAACGACCACTGGTTTGATGCCTTTAAAGGGAGATTGGTCAAATTTATAGCCAATAAAGTAATTGGTGGCTGTTAGCTAGATAACCTCTAGATAAAGGTAAAGGGACCCCTGACCATTAAGTCCAGTTGCGGACGACTCTGGAGTTGCGCGCTCATCTCATTTTACTGGCCGAGGGAGCCGGCGTTTGTCCGCAGACAGCTTCTGGGTCCTGTGGCCAGCATGAGGAACCAGAGCAGCGCATGGAAACGCCATTTACCTTCCGACCGGAGCAGTACCTATTTATCTACTTGCACTTTGACGTGCTTTCGAACTGCTAGGTTAGTAGGAGCAGGGACCAAGCAATGGGAGTTCACGCCGTTGTGGGGATTCGAACTGCCGACCTTCTGATCAGCAAGCCCTAGGCTCTGTGGTTTAGACCACAGCACCACCCATATCCCTAACCTACAGAGGTAGAAATGCCTATGTGAATACCTGCTGCAGGGGAATGAGGTAGTGAGAGGAGCCTGTTTGCTACATACCTTTTAATGCAGGACAAACTAATGCTGATTAAAGTCCTATTCTGCTCCTGTGTCAGTTATTTCAGTTTGATACTGTTTGGCACTTCCAGCTACACCTATGGCCTTCCAGAAGTTCCTGAACTACAACGCCCATCAGCCTCAGCAAGCATGGTTAAGAGCCGGGAATGATGGGAGTTGTAGTTCAGCAACATCTGGAGGGCCAAAGGTACTCTACATCAAACTTAAACTATTGTTTGTTGTATTGAAGGGAAAACTGGCCCAGTCCCTCATGAGATGTTTTTCTTGCAGACTTCCTTGTTCCTGGTGAATAAACCCACTAAGGCCCTACTGGCTGTGTATTAATCAGCACAGAAAAAAGAGCTACATCCTTCATTAGCTCTGGTTGTATTTGTGCGGTCTGCTACAAGGCAGCTTTTGAATCTGTATATTAAGGGTCATCAAGTGAGCAGTGGCATGCAACACAGGCCACTGATTCCCCAACTGCAGCCTCCAGGTCGTCCTTCCTACCTAAGAAAGTAGCCTCTTGCATGACATTAAAACAGATAATTGGTTATTCACATTTGTTCCTTTTGGGGAAGGTAGGTATGCCCTGAATGACATCAGCAGAGCCCTGTAACCCTTCCAGGAAAGGTTTCTTACATTGTACTGCTGACGAGCTTAGGGCAGGTGTGGGGGAACCTTTGGCCCTCCAGATGTCTTGAAATACAACTCCCATCAGTCCAGGCAACGAGCATGGCTAACAGCTAACAGCCAGAGATGAGAGATGTAGTTCAGCAACATCTGGCAGGCCAAAGGTTCTCCACACCTGACTTTGGGGCAGACACACAGCTCTATTGGTTGCTGAATTCTTTGTTTGCTCCAGGATTGATCAAAACACAAGGGGGACAACTCTACAATTCTATGATTCTATGACATAGTGGACTTTTTGGGATGGGGTTATGGTATTTCTACTGGGATTTTTGGGTATACAAAGCAGTTCACAATTATAAAATTTCATTTTGGATAGCCCTGTGCTAATAGTGTAAGGTACCACTTTTCCAGAAAACAACACTCAGGTGGTCTTCACCATCTTTCTTAAATAAATTAGGTTATGCCCTAAACCTACATTAGAAAAGAAGTGCAAGAAAGGCAAAAGTCACAGGGTTGCTTTGAAAATAAAAAAATATATTTTTTCAGCATCCTGAGACATGCACTATTATTTTGGGGCTAGATCTAGAACATACCAGGAATCACCGGCACAACCTGCACTTTCTTCTGGGATAGAGTTACTTCAGGGAAAAGCATTAGTGTTCTTAGGAGGGAAACTAAGTTTCTTGTGATAATTTAGACAGTCAAGGACATTGATCCCTAGCTAGCTTGCTGCTTGAAACTGCAAACTGAGATGCCTACCTGTAAATGAATTAACACAGGTGTGGGGAACCTTTGGCCCTTCAGTTGCTGCTAAACTCTAACTCCCATCAGCCAATGGCTAGGGAGGATGATGGAAGTTGTAGTTCAGTATCTTCTGGAGTGGGTAATAGGTTTGTGTGTGCACCCTGGCAACTCCTGTGCTGGTCTTTATCTTAAAGAGGCTGGGAAATAGACAAAAGCCATTGCAGAAATGTACCAGGAGGAGAGAAACCCACCCACCACTCCTTCCTCAAAAAAGAACAACGGATAGATCGCTGGAGCAGAAACTGCCTAAAGATTTCCCAACTCCAGCCTGGTCTGAGGGAGTTCCAATCTTGTGGGTCAATATGCAAACCGTTTGTGTAAGACAGACACTCTTCCTACCCAAAAGTCAAAACGAAGCCAGTGTTTTGTTCCATCAGTTTATTTAAAATAGAACTTGCTACTTTGAAAACTGGTTTCATTTGCATTCATTTTTGCACATCCCATCGTTAAATCAGCAGGTCCCAGTTGCACATGAGCTATGTGTTGTTCTTAGCAGTTGGCCTATTACCCTTGGCTGATGTGTAGAGGCCCATTGCTGTTCTGAAAAGCAGGTGCTGCAGCAGTTCCTGGACCAGAGGCAACAGGCTGCCCAAAACCAATGCGGCATAAACTGCTTGGCTTAGGAGTTTGGGAGAAGAGCACAATACTAGACTCAAACATTGAGGAAACAAGTGATCAAGAGCCTCCAAGCAATAGGCACAGGCCTCTATTATATTACCAGAAAGAAGTACTGGCACAATGACTGAAGCTCTCTGTACATTTCTGCTACCACTGATTTGAGTAAAAAATAACAATAGAGCATATGCTACTTAAAAGTATTATTAAAAGAACGTGGAATAATTTTCCTGTCAGCTTGCCAGCTATTTTCAATCATGGTACAGTCTAAAAACAAAAAAGTACAATCAAGCACACTAATTGTATCTAGCATATAAAGCCAACCATCCTAAGCAGGCTATCTTAGCTGGCGATCAGCACTCTTTCCACCAGTCAGGAGCATAGCTGTCAACTTTCAGATTTGAAAATACGGGATCAGCAGCCTCGACAATAAAAGATCAGCAGCCTCACCAATCCCGGGGACAGTCTACAGGATATCTAACAATCCGGGATAGCAGCGGGAAGCGGCGCTGGAATAAGAGAATTTCCCGCAAAAAAAGGGAAGGTTGACAGCTATGGTCAGGAGCCCATGTTTATTGGGAAGGAGGGGGAAATGGGGGGAGGGGGGAGTGAGAGGCACAGGTTTCATCCCCAGAGAGTTTGGGGGGGGGAGCATCACATGGGATGTTCTTGGCCTGGTTTCCAGTAAGACTGGGGCTGCACCTGGTCCCTGCCAGAGGCTGTAGGGAAAGGCCTGGACCCGTTGCCTGGTGTTAATGGCAATGCTCCGTGATATCCACCACCACAGCCTTCTTCCAGCTGAAGAGGAAGTAGCCTGTCCCAGCACCTGCTGCCACGGCAATGCAGAGGTAGCCATTGTAGGTCATGAAGATAAGCATAAGGAAGTAGCTGACCACCACCTGGACGATGTGCAGCGCAGTCTGGAAAAGGTGAGGGAAGCTCAGCATCTGTTGCCTGACCAATTAAAAGAAAAAAAGAGAGAGAAAGGAAACATTCAGTACATGCTGGGTGGATGGGCAAGGACTGACTACGAATGGCAGACTTTGGAGCCAGAAAGGGTTAAGATCTATAAATGACCTACGAACTGAAGCAACAAGGTGTAATAAGAAAGAATTAAACTGACACTTCTCTCACACATCTAGCATAGAATGGCTCCTAGCCCCCCTGCTAGAGAAGGAGCAGCCCACTTTGGTTCCTGACACAACAAGGCTGAAACCAGCAGGGTGGAAGTTCAGCAGGAATAAATGTGAAGTCCTGCATTTAGGGACACACACAAAATATGGTTGCAAGCATAGCATGTGGGAGACTGGTGTGGCTGCAGCATACGTGAAAAGGATCTAGGTAACTTGGTGGATCACAAGCTAAACTTGAAGGGTGGTATAGAAATAACAACAACACTAGAGTAATGCAATCTTAGGCTGCAAAGCATCCAGAACATGAAAAATAGCAGCTCATTCTATTCTGCATTGGTCAAGCCTTGTTCTGGGTTCCACATTTCAAGACACACATTGACAAACTGGAGCATGCCCAGAGGAGGGCAGCCAGGATGGTAAGGTGTCTAGAAACCAAGCCTTATGAGGAATGGTTGAAAGAACTGGGAATGTTCAGCTTAAATGTGAGAAGATTAAGGAGAGGCATCATAGCCAACTTCAAATATCTGAAGTGCTGTCACATAAAAGATGGAGTGGGCTTGATTCCTATTGCGCCAGAGGACAGGATGAGAACAACAGTGGAGTGGGAAACAGAGTGTAAGACTTGAGTTTGGGAGACCAGGGTTCAAATCTTCACTTAGTCACAAAGCTAACTAGATGACCTTGGGTCAGTCGCTGTCTCTCAGGGTTGTTGTGGGGAGGGAGAAGACCATGTACAGTGGTACCTCTGGTTACGTACTTAATTCGTTCCAGAGGTCCGTTCTTAACCTAAAACTGTTCTTAACCTGAAGCACCACTTTAGCTAATGGGGCCTCCCACTGCTGCCGCGCTACTGCCGCACGATTTCTGTTCTCATCCTGAAGCAAAGTTCTTAACCCAAGGTACTATTTCTGGGTTAGTGGAGTCTGTAACCTGAAGCGTCTGTAACCTGAAGCGTATGTAACCCGAGGTACCACTGTATGCCAAACCTTGAGCTCTTTGGAAGAAAAGGCAAGAAATAAATGTAGCAAACAAGAATTAGTGGGCAGGAAGCAGGTTTTGGGGTAAACGTTTGAGAGGGGTTGTATCCAATTAGGTTATACCCGAAGGAGACCCACTGAAATTAATGAGCCTAAGTTAGATGCGTTCATCAGTTTCAACGGGTGCTCTGAGTAGGACGGCTAACATTGGATATAACCTGGTGGAATAGTCTGCCTCAAGAGGTAGAATAGAATAGAATCATAGAGTTGGAATAGACCACAAGGGCCATCGAGTCCAACCCCCTGCCAAGCAGGAAACACCATCAGAGCACTCCTGACATATGGTTGTCAAGCCTCTGCTTAAAGACCTCCAAAGACGGAGACTCCACCACACTCCTTGGCAGCAAATTCCACTGTCGAACAGCTCTTACTGTCAGGAAGTTCTTCCTAATGTCAGGAAGTTCTTCCTAATAGGTGGTGGACTTTTCTTTGTGGAAGGTATTTAAAATTAATAGGTGGTGGACTTTTCTTTGTGGAAGGTATTTAAAACTATCTGCCATGGATGCTGAAGCTGCAACCTACACTGTGGATCCTGCTTTCTTTCATCTCTGATTCTACAGCAGCCTTCCCCAACCTGGTATCCTCTACAGATAATTTTAGACTCCTGACTCCCGTCAGACCCAGCCAGCACAACCCCAGTGGTCAGGGCTGATGGGAGATGTAGTCCAAAGCATATGGAGGGCACCAGGCTGAGAAAAGCTGCTTTGTGAGATACCACAAGTACTGTGAGTTAGGTCAGAAAGGACCATGAACTGGCTATGCCCCAGTTGGGTTTCCCATGTTAAAGTCCCCTGTAGATAGAAAGAGTGTGCATACCCAACTGTTTTGTGTGTTTCCATCAAGACTGTGCCATTTGGTCCAGGAACTGGCATGGAGTTGTAGCGGATGCTGACTTGCGACTTCCGGAGGAGGCTCTCTCGGGCAATCTTCAGGCCTTCGTAGAACATGGCCAGGAGGAAAATGGCCACAAATGCACCAGCCATTTCTAGCAGAGTGAGAAGGAGGAAAGTTCCTGGATCTATTCCGTACTAGGATATCAGCACTCCAGTTAAGGCAGGTAAAGCACACAAGTGATACTACAATCTGATCGGCTGAGGTTGTTACTTAGCAACATTGATTCCAGCATTAAGTTATTCAGAAGGACCACATGTGATATACCATTGAGCTATGGCCCACCCCCATTGTTAACATTTCCAAGGAGGTCTGGATAATGGAACAAGTCTTGAAGTTGATCTACCACACATAAATCAGTAAATCTAACAGTTCCCAAACTCTCTCCCCCCTCTCCCCTGCCTAAGAACCACTTGAAAATTGCTGAGGGTCTTGGCAGATTATTTGATGTTTTTTCCTGCCTGTTGCTGTACTGTATTCGGCCCAACATCCCCCACTCCTCCACCAGACTGTGGTTTGGGCAACAGATACTTTGAACCATCTCAGTGGCACCTAGTAAATCACTCACTCACCTCCAGCAGTGTTGATGACAAGCCCGGAAAACAGCAAAGGCACATTGTTATAACTAAAGTGGAAGGTCATATCCTGCACAAGAAACAAGGAGTCCATTTAATGCCACAATGCAGCTTTGTGAGTGGCAGGGTCTTTGGGCATCACAGTTTCAAACAGATTGCATGGGACTAGAACCACAGAGACTGCAAATTCATTGGAGTGGCACCCTACTCACCCAGCCCCACCCCACTGCCTCTCTCTTTACCAGCATGATCCAAGGGTGGTGAATGTGTACATGGGAGAAAAGAGAGTGGCCAACATTTGCACTCTCCAGTCACCATTTGCAGTCAGCAGCTGAATTCCCGAGATGGAAGGAGGCTCATCTCAGAAACACTTGCAGTTCCACTAAGGTTTGAAGACCCTCTGAAATTACCTGCCAATCGTTCAACATCACCCTGTTGTCAGGTGACCCAATTTCAAAGCTGACTTTTGTGTGGCTTGCTGCAAGCGCCAATCTGCAAGCCCTGCTTCAGGCAGGGATCACCTTCACCAAAAAGTCACCGATCAGGATGCTACAGGGCTTGCTGTTGGTGTTGATCAGCACCTTGCTTAAAGTTTGGTGGGGCCACAAACAGGCCATGTGACTGGCAGTCGGCACCCACAGAGCTGAAGAGTCCAAGTGAGATGTGTGTGCTGTTGCTTCTCTCTGTCTTTCTGGATCTGGACAGATTTTTAGTAGATCTGGTGACGTTGCTGATATACCCTACCATTCAGAAAGCAGGAGTCAAGTCCTATTTCTGCAAGGTTCAGGTGCACAAGCAGCACACCTCTGCCTGCCCTACACCTGACATCCAATGTGGAGGCCTGGCAGACCAAATTTGTCACACAGCTTCTGCACCAGAGGTATCGCTTGAGCTCTACTCACCATCATCATCATCATCCCTCCATCGTGTATATGCCCCGATGTTGTCATGGCATGATGGTGTGCGTGAGGATCTGGGGTGGGCGTTGTTGAGCTATTCATATCATGGCCCATGTGCGCCATGTGATGGTTGGACATTTTGACCCCCAAGGAACTAGAGGGCAGTGGATGCTGTAGAAGCCTGGAAGACACACACAAAATAGAAGAAATTAAGAAGAAAGTACCTCTAGAGGAGGAGGCATGCCTGTAGCTAATCTTAAGAAACTTGGCCCTTAGACCAAGCCTATGGATATTCTACACAAGCACTGGAATGTTCATTACTCTTTTGGTTTTTTTTAGAAAACCAAGTTTCCAGACCTTATAAGGATATGGAAATCAGTTCTGGAAGATTGCGCAATGCGAGAACAGCTAACATGTATATAGAGAAGTGCATTCATTAAAAGTGCTTTTTATTTATATTCCATCATTTTCCCTCTCTGCTCCATTGTATCTCACAACCACTCTGAGGTTAGGCTGAAAGCGGTTGAGTGGCCCAAAGTCACCTGCAGCAGTAGTCTTCAACCTTTACAGACCTGGGACCCAACTTTAACTCAAGCATACATTTGGGGACCCAGTTCTTTTTCTTAAATGATATTTATTAAAGTTTAACAGTTACAGAAAAAAGAAAAGCAAACAATAAAAAGTTACAATACTTCAAGAATAAAAAAATACAATAAAAAAACAACAATACAACAAGACAATAAGAAAAAACAAAAACAGTTAAAAACAAAAACATTTAAAAAAGAAAGAAAAAAACCCACCCAGTATTTTCATGTCTTTATCTTTCATTTACTTATTTCCTTGACTTCCTCACACCTCCCTTTTTTGTATTCTAATTCAATTAGTTGTTTCAGCAAGTCCTTTCCCTCTTTCTCAGATTTTGTTCCATAATTTATCTTAACGCAATTTAACCTTAGATTTTACACCTTGACCCGTTAGCAGTCTATTCTTACTTAATTCTATATAACATTTCTGCTAAAACCATATAACTTCTTTCCAGCATCCTTCTAACATTCATTAATTTTACAATATTTCTGTAAATATACTTTAAATTTTTTCCAATCTTCTTCCACCGACTCTTCTCCCTGGTCTCGGATTCTGCCAGTCATTTCGCCAACTCCATGTAGTCCATCAGCTTCATCTGCCATTCTGGGGACCCAGTTCTTTTTCTGTCCCCCCCATATGGTGATGCTGCTACAGCCTACTTTAGATCAGGCCATGAACCAGTAGTGGCTCGGTTCAGGGGCGGCTCGTGGGTCGGTTTAACGACCCCCATGGGCCTTAGGTTGCCGACCCCTGACCAATACTATAATGGACACAGCAGTACAAGGCTATCCCATTCAGCTCTCCCAGCTGTAAAGGGCAACGAGCCCATGGAAGAGTCCCTTAGCAGCTTGGCAGAAGGAATTGGCATTTAAGAACTGGAGAAGGAAGGGATGCCGGAGGGTACATAAAAGCATGTAGCAGGTCAGGAACTATTCCATAATAATTTCCAAGGCTGCCATAGACATAGTAGAGCAAACAGGGGACTGCCCCCCCAAACTCAGTCTACCCTCTGCCAGCCCCAGCCTGCCTCATTACTTACATCCAGCCCAGACTCCTCCTCTTAGTCTCAGTGTTTCCCTTGTAGAACTCAGCAGGTGGGAGAACGCTGGACTAAAATTCACTCTGCCTGTCACTGATTCAGGCTCCACCTACTGATGTTCTTCATAACATTGGCCAACCAGGCCCAATGAGCATCATCCTACACTGCATAGACACACAGAGGACCAAAGGGAACCTGGTCACCTTGTAGCCAGACCCACAATTCTATGACGCAACAGGGAGCAGGAATAAGCAAAAGTGGACATGCTTTTTATCAAATATCTGCTTGGGAACTGCAGGAGTTATCCACAAACATCTACAAAGATAACTTTGTTGCCACAGGGTTTAATTGTGCTACAGCCCTATTTTAAATTACATCAACTCAAAAAGTCAAATGCGTCGAAACTTTCCCCTCTAATTGGCAACTGGTCATTTTTATGGGGAACAGATCTCTACAGTCACATTAGGTGAAGGTGTTGTCCAGCAACAGAAAAGGACATCGGCTGCCCCCAGCCATCTAGTCCCCATTGCCAGGCAACAGCCTCCCCCATCTCTTCATAATTGAATGAGACGGGGGATGGTTAAGTGCACAGAAGGCTGGATTGAAATCTTTTTAATCTCATTGCCACTGATAATCAAATAGTCTCCCGGGAAAGAGAGAGAAAATGTGGCTGCCCAACATTCAAGGTGTAGCTGTTTCCACAGGAGGAAAAGTGGTAAGAAATCCAAGCAAGGAGATGTTTAAACGTTTACCATATAATGATCCAAACCATATAGTAGATTGGTACTGTAAAGAAGGTACTTTACAGGTACTGTAAGAAGCTAGTAATGATGAACACTGGACACAAACTCCTGCCCCCCTCCTTTTCTCAGAGTCAGGAAAACTCAGCTAGATAAGGGGTATTTATGGTTTATAATGCCATGGCACTTCCAAGGAGTAACATATTTGAGGAGTGGGGCAGGAAGAGAGCCATGTCCTTGCTCAAAGGAGCTCACAGCCTAAATTTCAACAGAGAGGGAAGAAGGAAGAGTCAAGAATAACAAGGAATGAATATTATCAAACTCTACCACATGTAGGCTTTGTTTCAATTGGGGATGAGGACTTTCAGGGAATAAAGCAAAAGATTGACTCCAAGGAAAGTTATGAAGGAAGAAATGGATTGGTGGTGCCAGCGATTTTATATGTGTAAACCAGGAGTGGGGAACCAGATAGTGGGCATCCCACTATCTTCCTGAGTTTTCCTCTTGAGATATGTTGTGAACTGCTCTGATACCTCCGGGTATAGGACGGTGTATAAGTTGAATAAATAATAATAATAATAATAATAATAATAATAATAATAATAATAATATGATGTCAGGCACCTGCCATCTGTACTTTCCAGAAACAATTGAAGACTGTTTGTTTTCATCTTTGCTTCAACAAGAGGAAAAGGTCTCTGCCTAGGTGTTCATCCTGTGTTGATTTTAAACCTATGCACAGTTGTTCTACTGCTTTTAAAATTATTTAAATCGGTTTTAAGAATGTGTCCACAAATCACCTTGCAACGTTAATCCACAGATTAATAAATAAATATTTACTTGTGGCCCTCTAGATGCTGTTGGACTACAGCTCTTACCATCCCTGTCTATTAAGCTGATGGGGAGTCCAATAACATCAGGAGGGCCACAGAATCCCTATGCATGGGGCAAACCAAACTGTCTCCCAAGTAGGGCAAAAACAAGGGCGGAAGCTATGGTAAAAGGTTGGAATGTTACAGGATCCAACCCAGCTCTGAATGACTTTCGATCTGGTGATGGCAGCAGTAGTAGTAGTGAGGCCCTCGGTCCCACAACCCTCACAGGCATGCTTGGTACAAACGTGGGGAAACGGCATCCTCGGTTGTCTGCTCCCAGACTTTGGAACTCCCTCCCTAAGAGAAGCTGGACTGGCTCTCTCCTTGTTGTCCTTCTGCCAGCAGGTGATGACCTTTCTTGTTCCAGCAGCCTTGGGATTGGACTGCTTTTAATGAAAGGTTCTGGGCTGGCTGTTTTTTATTGCAAATATTTGATATGCTTTTAATAGACGTGGAATTTTATGAGGAAGTGTGGAGATAACATTTCTATGTTCTTATGTATGCATAGCGTCTAACTATGTCAGGAGCTATCTTATTTTGTAACTCTTGTAGTCCTTGTGTAACGTCAGGGTTCAAATCTAATATTGCTGATCTGTTGGTAATCATAGATAATGAAATAAAAAATATAAAATAGATAGATCAGTAACTTAAGATGATGTGGGGACAGGGCCTCCTGTCCTACCCCACAAACATGCCAAGGCCCACACCTTACACAGCAATACCAAATGCTCAGAGATTTTCCAGCGACTGCAAAAGGAGATCCCTGCACAACATAGCCAGTCAGGTGCAATACCAGAGCTACAGGCCCCAAAGCAAAGTGTGCGGTTCTTGACAGGAAGCCAGTGGCTCAGCCTGAAAGCACCTTATTGTCTGCCGCAGGCAGGGCTCCCAAGCAGCCTGGGCAACCCAAGTGAATCCTGGCAGCTGAATCTCAGGGCAGGGAGGGGCTCCACCTCTCGGCACTGTGTCTGCTCTGCACATTAGCATAAATGATGAAAAAGCATGAAGATCAAGAGCTGAATGTGTTCCAGTGCTAGGCAACCTCCCCCGCTACAAGCGCACACCATGTACTCACATGCATATTAAAGGGCTGTGTATAACTCCAAGTTTGCAACTTTAAATATAGAAACTGGTCCTTGAAGGGCTGTAGCCTGGTGCAGAGCACACGCTTTACATGCAAAGGATCTCATAGAGCCATTGAGCTTAAAGGAATCTTTAGTCTAACACTTCGTAAATGTAGTACTACATACAGGGAGTCTGATAGATGTCCATCAAACCTCCGCTTACAGTCTGTCTCACTGCCCAACAGATTGTAACATCAGGGTTTTTCCTAATGTTTATGTCAGAGACGGGAAACTAGTCTACAGCTGTTATTGGACTACAATGCTCATCATCCCTGGTTACTGTCTGGGCTGGCAGGGGCTGGTGGGAACTGGAGACCAACACTAGCCAGAGTGCCAGAGGTTTCCCATCCCCAGTCTGAATAATTTTTCTTTCAATTTGAACCCACTGGTTCAGGTTTATTCTCTCTGAATTTTGTCAACATATAAGTGGTATTTTGCAGCCAATTTAGTTATGTTTAACATGTCCCACTGAACTTTTTTTGTAAAAAAACCCGAAAGAACCAAATTGGAGGTTCTGCTCTTGTCCCATTTGGGAAAATCAGCTACAAAGGTACCCATGACAGAGCATTTTCTTTCATTTATTGAAAACTTTGTTTCAATGGTGCTTTGGCTGTCACTACATGACTTTTAACTTCTTTTTTAGATTCAGTTTTACCTGCCTGAGTCTTAAAAGTATTCCTATTTTATGAAGATTATTTATGCTTTTACAACACAAATCCCAGGCAAGTAAGCCCTAGGAGGCACAAGATTGCAGCCTTAATATCTTTTTTCCCCCTTCCATTTTGTAGGATGATTTTTGCATATGCACACAAACAAAG